TGAACTATTATTCATTATAAACCCAATGACTTCCATTGCTCAGTCAAAATGCAGTCCAATTTAAAAAGATAGAGCAGTGTACTTATTAAATGTAACAGATGAAAATAAATAATAAATGATTAATAAAACAAGTCATTATTGCTGACTGTGTATTGTCTGGCCTGGATCTAGTTAATGTTATATTACAGGAAATGTTCTGGACAAAATAAAAAATTAAAAAGTAGAATTTTTTTTTTAAATGATGAGAGACTGGATTTCATTTTTTAAGAGGGACTAGGATATCCTTGTACACAAATCACACAAAGTTAACATGAAGGTACAGCAAGCAGTCAGGAAGTCATATGGTATGTTCGTCTTTATTACAAAGGGAGCAGAATAAAAGAGTAAAGATGTCTTATTGCACGTTGCTCTCACTGATGTCCACAGTTGCAATAAGAATTCTTTACTGGTCACTTTGTGGCAGCAGTGCTAACTACTGATGCACTGTGCTGCCCTCAGCATTCCTTAAAGCATACATGGTCCTCAGCTTTATTAATAGAGGCATAGAGTACAAGAGCAAGGAGGTGGAATTTGTATAAGACACTTGTATATAATGAACTTATATATGACACTCACCAGCCAGACTCCTGGGTGGGTTAACTGTCTCTATTAAAGTAACATCTTGATGTAGGTTGCTGCCCTGAGCAGAGGACAGTTAGGCAGAAAAATATTAAAGAAAAAAACTGGGAACTGCTCAATAAAACTACTGCTTCAAATAACTGAATGTTTTACCAATAATTCAATCAGCAAACAAATAAAATCAGCAAAGACTAAGCGTTATTTAACAGGTGGCTAACATACCAATCTAAAAAAAGGCACTACCTTATTAACTAATTAACACAAGCAAAAATGCTTCATGACTCAATGATATGTTACACCATGCTCTCAGTAGAGATGTGTAACTTTGTAGATCAAGTTAAACCCCATCCTGAATTTTTATTTTAGCAGCCTTGCTTTTCTTTGAAAGTTGTTTCTTTAAGTTTTCCAGATCAGACAACCAGTTACTCCTTGATTGTTAAACTTACACAAATTCCTTCTTTTCAAATGAAAAACCATTTCCCACCAGCATTCTATTTGTGGCTAATGCAACAGCAGTCTTTTCCCGTCTGCTTCTCACAATCGCAATTCTTGCCAGTTTCTCTGAGTCTATGAATCTGTGTCCAGAGAGACCAATTCCTTTGTGTCAAGGTGTGAACACTAGTCCTGGGGTTTCCATGGGTTTTGGCTTGGCCCTTTGCTCCCATGACAACCAAATCCAGTAGATCTGTCTCTAGGTGGACTACAAAATGAGTTCACCAAGCTCATTCTATGATATTCTATCTTACTTTAAGAGACCATTTTAAACATAACGCCTTGTGAAGTCTTGCATTTGTAACTACAGTTGGAAAGACATGCTATCTGAGCTGTTTTTAATGAACATAAGAACATAAAAAATAGGAGCAGGAGTAGGCCATCTCCTGAGAAGTTCCTCCTCAACTCAGTCCCACTGTCCCTGAGTTCTAGTTTCACCCACCAGTGGAAACAACCTCCCAGTTTCTACCTTATCTATCCCCTTCATAACATTAAATGCTTCCCTAAGATTCCCCCTCATTCTTCTAAATTCCAATGAGTATAGACCCGGTCTACTCAACCTTTCCTCATAAGCCAACCCTCGCAACTCCAGAATCAACCTCGTGAATCTCTTCTGCGCCCCCTCCAGTTCCAGTGCATCCTTTCTCAAGTAAGGAGACCAAAACTGTACACGGTACTCCATGTGTGGCCTTACCAGCACCTTATACACCTGCAGCTTAATCTCCCTGTTTTTAAATTCTATCCCTCTAGCAATGAAGGACAATATTCCATTTTCCTTCTTAATTACCTGCTGTACCTGCAAACCCACTTTTTGTGATGCATGCACAAGGACACCCAGGTGCCTCTCACAGCGGCATGCTGCACTTTTTCACCATTTAAATAATGGTCCATTTCACTGTTATTCCTTCCAAAATGGATGACCTCACATTTTCCAACATTGTACTCCATTTGCCAAACCCTTTCCCATTTACTTAACTTGTTTCTATCCCTCTGCAGACTTTGTGTCCTCTGCACACTTTGCTCTACCACTCATCGAAGTGTCATCTGCAAAATTTGATGAACTATACCTGGTCCTCAACTCTAAATCATCTATGTAAATTGTAAACAATTGTGATCCTAACACTGATCCCTGAGGCACACCACTAGCCATTGATCGCCAACCACAAAAACACCCATTTATCCCCACTCTTTGCTTTATGCTAGTTAACCAATCTTCTACCAATGCTAATACGTTACCCATGATAATGTGCAGCTTTATCTTGTGCAGCAGCCTTTTGAGTGGCACCTAATCAAATGCCTTCTGAAAATCCAGATACACCACATTCACTGGTTCCCCATTGTGCACTGCACTTGTAATGTCCTTGAAGAATTCCAGTAAATTAGTTAAGCATGAACTGCCTTTCATGTACCCATGCCTGATGGGACAATTTCTATCCAGATATTTTACTATTTCTCCCTTGATTATAGATTCAAGCATTTTCCCCACTACATACGTTAAGCTAACAGGGCTACAGTTACCCATCTTTTGTCTACCTCTTTTTTTAAATAGTGGCCTCACATTTGCTGTTTTTCCAACCTGTTGGAACTGGCCAGAGTCCAGCGAATTTTGGTAAGTTATCACAAGCACATTGGCTATTTCCCCCACCATCTCTTTTAATAACCTAGGATGCATTCCTATAGCCCCCATTAGCTTGCCCAACACCATCTCTTTAGTTGCACTACTTGCAGTAGCCTCCTTGTCATCATTATTAGAATGTTATTTATGTCTTCCACTATGAAGACCGACACACAATTCCTGTTCAACAGCTCGGCCATTTCCTCATTTTCCATTATTAAATCCCCCTTCTTATCCTCTAAAGGGCCAATGTTTACCTTACCCACTCTTTTTTGTTTTATATATTTGTAGAAATTTCTGCTTTTTTTGTTATATTCTGAGCTAGTTTACCCTAATAATCTATCTTATATTCCTTTCATAGCTTTTCTCGTGGTTTTCTATTGGCCTTGAAAGATTTCCCAAACCTCTAGCTTCCCATTATCATTTTCTGAGAGTTGCTAACTCTGCTCTAGAGAAATAAGGTGAAAGCAGTCTCCTGAGATTGTGGAGTATGATAAAACAGTCTTTGCAATATAATAATGCTCAATAATATTCAGTGGGAAAATATAATCATAATATAAATAAAATTCTCACTAAGGAACTTGCAATTCTAGTTCTATTTTGCTCCAGAGACACTCTTCAGAACTCATCATCATGGTTGAAATTAGTGTTCTTATTAATAATAATAATTTAAAACTTTATTCCTTACCTTTTATGAATAATATAAATTATTTTGGCAATGTTAGACATCTGCTTAATAAGTTTGTGTGGCATGCTGTTTTAGTGGAGTTGACAACTTGTTTAAATTAAATGGATTAATACCTGTGTTCCTGGTTCATAATAGGATCAGAATGAGCATCGATATCACAAATGGCAGTTTCTAGATTGGAATAAAGAAGAAAGACTTTTATTTGCATAATGTGTTTTCGTAAACTTCTTCCCAACTCTATGGTTTCCTATTTAAGAAACTCCTTAAAAGCCATTTCTTTGACCAAGCTTTTGTACATTTGACCTAATATCTCATTATGTGGCTCAGCATCATATTTTCTTTTATTATGCTCCTGTGATGGCCTTTGAGATGTTTTAGTACTTAAAGGTGTAATATAGGTATAATTTGTTGTCATTTGCAGCCATATAGATACATTTGAAGTGTAGTCATAGTAATGTAGGAAATGCAGTAACCAATGTATACACAGCAAGATTACACAAAGAGCAATATGAAAATGATTATATAATCCATGTTAGAAGATGGTGATTAAGGATAAATATTTGACACATGCAAGTGGGACTAGTTTGGGAACATGGTTGGCATGGAGTAATTGGACCGAAGAGTCTGTCTCCATACTGTACGACTCCATGACTGTATTGGCCAGGACACAGCTGAAAGCAAAAGGCATAACAAAATAATACAATCAGCACCAGTTTTAAACCAAGATAGAAAAAAAATCAGCTCTCAGGAGATAAATATAACCTTTTCAGAAACTTGTCCTAGATTCCAACCATTAAATTAGCTTAATATTATTCTCAGTGTTGGCATTTGCCTTTTCCCTACTGATTAAGTTCCTCTACTTTGGCATATAGTAAGGGGAGAGCAGTTCTTATTTAAACAGTAAACTACTGTTTTTTAATGAAATAATAAAGATGAGGTTTCCCCATTTATCCCAGTGTCTGATTTTAATTATGCTGCAATGCATAATTACCAAACTGCCCTTCAACTTGTGCATTGAATAATGAGAGAAGTCCATTCCTCAAAGCGCTGGAGAGGAAGAGGATGTGGGAAGTAGTGACAGAAAATTGTGGCTTTCTCCTTCATCCAACTGGGTCAAAGGACTAAAAAAAAGACACACATGGGACAGCAGGTCTGCTGATAGTCTTGTGCAAGCCCAACCATTCTGTTCCGAGCCTTAGTGGCAGCCTCAGGCTAAGCCTGCAGTTTAAGGAGTGGGGCTGACATGAGCAAGAAGCTGGAGCTTAGATCTCTGCTGAAATAAGCTGCAAAACCTAATTGGGCAAAACAGAGCTTTTAGTTTAAAAAAACATTAACAATAGTCAATTGGTCATGCATGGCTTCTCTGCTTGCCAAAAGTTGCTGTGGATCAGTTTTATTGTATGTAAATGCGCAAAGAAAATTTTGCTGAAGCACAGCAAATTATTTGACAATCATTTCCATTTTGACATGAGAGCACGCAAGGCTATATGTAAAGCATTTTATCAGCTGACAACTGTTGTACTCCATGTGAATTGTACAGGTTGTTCTGGTGTGGCACTGATTATGTATTCTTCTTCCTTGCAGACTGTGCATACGCACAAGCCTCATTTTATTGCATTGCATTGCCAAGAGGTTGGCGGGAAGAACTATGAAGCATCAATGTCTCATGTTGACAAGTTTGTGAAGTAAGTCCCAAGTATAATTTGCTGCATGCGTTCCTTTGGGGTTCCACTGCAAAGAATATGAAAAGCTCATGTTAGATTATTGAGGTACAATATCAAGCTGCATTAGTTCAAGTCATTTGGCTGTCAGTCAGCCTCGCTTAATTTAAGTCATTTTCCCTTCTGTTGTTTTGCAGACTGTAACACAAAGTGAATGACAACAAAAAAAAGCTTGAATCCTGACTTTAACAGGCAGTTGAACACTGCCAAATGTCAGCTTTAAAACTGTCACCAACCAAAAGTTCATACAACAACCAATTTCCATGAAGGATCAAATTCATTTCAAAAATCAGTAACTGTCCAAGAAGTCATTACGAAACTACCATTTTCCCCAGTGTTACAATGTGACAGTAAGGCCATTTCCAGCCACTGTAGTGATGTGTGTTAACCAGGCTGCTCGAATTGTGCTCTAACTTGCTGCCTCATATTACAGCCAGTAATCTTAATAATGGTAACGTTGATTATTTCTTTATTCATTAGTACAGGTTTGCAAACTAAATACTACATTTCACTGTTAAAATTATTTTAATCATCATGCAGCATTTAAAAATCTGCTTGGTATTATCATTATGGCAAACCCATTATTGAAAGATCAAAACTTCGAGTTGTTGCTGCACAGATTACGTTCCAGACAGGGTAGGCTTCCCTCTCCTGGTACAAATGGTGCATATTTACAATATTTATCAGTGTATATAATCTGTCCTTGACAGTGTCTCCCCCTGCTGACACAGGACAAGATGTGCATGCATTGAGTGCTTTTCAATCTCGATAGGACTCTGTAAAACTATTGTAATCACTCATGGTTCTTATTTAATCTATTCTTTTCTATCTTCGTTTGCTGATATTCAAGAGGAGTGTTAAGTGACACATTTAACACTCAGCTTCAAGCCAGTAAAAAATGATGTGATGTATAGGAAAGGAATAAAGGATTGTTAATCATTTCGGACAGTTTCTCAGAATGTTCTCCCTTCCTTGAGCTCTGCACACCTCCACCTCTGAAAACATTGACTGTTTGCTTGGTAGTGATTCGGAGGGCATAAGTATCCTTTAAGCATTGGCAGGTTTTTCAACTCTGGAGAACATTACGGCCAAATTTAATACTGGCAGGACCAAGACCCATTTAAAGAGACAGGATTCAGAAGTGCCTCAAGGAACAGCAGTGATAGTACCTCCACAACCAACCCCCACCACCCACCAACTCCACACCCCCCACGCCGCCCCCCCACCTCAACATTTCTGCTGCAAGATAATTAATGCCATCCTTTCTGGTTACTAGTGAGCTTTTAGCCCACACATGCAAGCCACTGCCGGAAGGAAACTTAGCTTGGTCCAAAATAGGCTCTGCCTCAGCCCATGGAAATGACCTAAGAGCCAGAAAATTAAGTTCTACTCAAGACAAACAACTGTGCATGCACAGTCACACATAGCTATTTTTATCTTGTGGTGGGGTTAATGGAGTTATCCTCAATATAAATGGAAGAATTTCCACTGTACTGTGACTATCAGATTGTGTCAATTGTAGGACCAACATCATAATAGCTGAGGTTGCAAAGATTATCTCTTCACAAGGTCATCAATAGTTCATGTTTCAAACTGTTATTTGGCGCATGTATCATAAAATAATCCACATATAACATCATTCAAAATCCCAGTTATGAATGCATTCAATTTAAGCACTTTCCAGGTCATTTTGTACTGCTGTATCCCACTTTTATTTGGAATAATGGCCAGATAAAGTGATTATACATTTTCCTGTTGATCCTTATTTTCCTCAGAAACAATGGTATCCTAAGGATGATATCAATGAAGATTGTATGATTATGAACCGTGCATAATTTTGTGCTAACAATGGTTGAGTGAAAGATTTCACCAATGTTAAAATACCATGAAACATAAACAAAAAACAAAGATATTAAGAGTAAAGAGGGAACTCATACTAAATGATTTTATCCGAAAGATTGTACGTCAGAGAATTGAGCAGTAAGTTACCAGGGAGAGTTTTTGGGATCCTGTAGACAATTAGAGATGTTTTTGCAGAGAAGGGATTAAGGAATATATTGAGGAGGTAGTTGTTGGGATTGATTTCTGAAAAGGGGATATATTGTTGCACTGAAAGGGCTTTTGTTGTCTGAAAGATATTTGCGTTCTTTGCAAATTTTGAATATAGCAATGAAATGTCATTTGTGAGTGGCCTCAGTCCTTTTGAAACCCTATGTTGTTGATACTTGAGCTCTGTTCAAGATATAGGATCAGCAGAAGTGCCATTGTCTTTAAAAGTTTGTAAAGAGTTTATAATTCTGAACAAAAATCCAGGAATTAGATGTTGAAGATCATACTGGAAAGAATACTGCTTTTCTTTGCCTTAGACAAGCAATTTACATTCAAAAAAACTCTTTTAAAAACCTAAAGTTAAAAAAAAATGTTTTGAGAAAATATATTTGTATCAATTATTATTTTAGCTGTTCATATGCCAAACCTCAACCTCTCATTTAATTTCTATATTATTCTATTTACAGTACTGTTGTTTCTTGAATAAAAAGAGGTTGTCATTGATTTTCCATAAATTTTCTAGATGTTGCTCATAGTTTTAAAGATCACTTCTCCTTGCCTCCCCACAAGACCTCACAAGCCACCCTACTTCCAGCTTAGAGAGTCAGCCTAAATTTAAGAGGCTGCAGTATCAAACAATGAGTAATACTACCAGCTAATTAATAGAGAATTCAAACTAGATTGATGTTATCATGGCATTACTTGGCTAACTACTCGCTAATCTGATCCTTCTTACTCCTCTGTTTTCAAAGTGAGTGAATTTCTGAGATATTATAATAGAAATATTATAATGAGGAGTATTGAGGGATGTTAACGTGAAGGATATTCTGATGAAGGATATTACAAACTTTTCAGAAGTTTTGGTACCAAATGGCAGCACCAAGTTTTCTACCACAAAGAAATGTGCCCTTGCAAGCTAAGAATGAAAATCGCCACTGCATTATTGCAGATTTGGACTCCCCATACCAACTAACCTCTTCAAGACTGCCCATTTGTTGACAATTAAGGGAAACTTTGAATTCGGATTATTGCCTGAAGTTCACCTTCTAGCAATAAGAGAAAGCATTCTGTCCAGTGAGACTATGTTGCATTTGATCCTTTGTCACAGGAGATGAAAGGACAACATTCTAAACCATTATATTACTTAACAGTTTAAATGTTTGAAAGACATACTTGGAAGCCATCGATTATCTCAGAGATTACCTGAGAAAGAAATAAATTTTCATTCTTTTACTATAGAGAATTGCTATCGAGTGATGAAATGAACGAGTATAATCGAGCACGAGTGTACTTGGATGAAAATTACAAATCGCAAGAACATTTTACGGTAAGAAGGAACTTCCTTGTCAATTATGCGGTTGTGATTCACTAATTAAAATTTTCAAGAAGTTTTCTCACATACACATGTCTAATGTGCAACAAGAACATGAAGATTTTGATTTTGAGGTTTAATTACATCAATGACAAAGACTTCAGCAGTCCAAAAATTAGATGATTTATTGTTTTCATGGTGTAGGCATGAATAGTAATTTTATCCCAGCTCCAGCACAATAAATGGAAATTTACGACTCTCAAGACTGAATTTCAGAAGTCTGATGAGCAGCACTGGTATCCGAGGTACAGAGTAACACAGCTATCTTTTCTCTTTTCTGAATGTTATATTGAATATTATACGGTGGTCTTTCATTTAAAACTGTTGCATTTGGCAGGAACAGATTTACAAGGTGTTTTTCTGTAAAATCCAGCCCAGAGTTGACAAGTTAATTCTATTCTATGTGACAAAGCATCCATGTAACCAAGACGAACCTGAGCAATAAGACTGCCTACAATGATCACAATCTGCATTAAGAAATCCAGCTTTCAGTAGCAGTGACTTCTATATGAGACTTCATTGTAGATGCTTAGACAGATGTGTTTGTGTGTAAACTTGGAGTCTTACAGAAACCAGAATGGGACTGCTCCCAGTACATGGCATTGCTTTGCTTCTTCATGATCCTGTGGAGTGTTCACTTTTTCCTTGCAGTATGTTGTACAAACGATTGTGCAAAGATGTGCAAGTTAGGTGGATTTGCCGTACTAAATTACCCATAGTGTTCAGAGATGTGTAGGTTAGGTGCATTAGCCATGGGAAATGCAGGGTTACAGGGATAGGGTAGGGGAATGGGTCTGGGTGGGATGCTTTTCAGAGCGTCAGTGTGAACTCATTGGGTTGTATGGCCTGTTTCCACACTGTAAGAATTCTATAAAAAAAAAGTTGAGGGAGTAATTCTTAAATAATGAAATATGGCATTCCATCTATTTGACAATATGACAATAAATGAGGGATATCAAAGATTCAGGATAAAGGGCTAAGAAATTTAATGGCACTTAAAAGATGTAATTTTGGACACCCATGGTGCACGATGTACATGTACAGAAGGTTCTCTGCCAGTCATATTGGTACAAGATGAAGAAACGGAGCCTGCACCTTAAATGTGCAGTAGGCCTTCTCCCAAATGAATAAGGGCCTAGTACTCATTAGAAACTACTGTTAATAAATTGGTTTGGTCTGAAAGGCTATATGTGGCTATCCTCCCCATTGCTACTTTTGCATCATGAATGAAGTGTCGACATCCTGCAAGATAGAATGTTTGGGAAGTTTGGGAAATATGCAGAAGCATAGAGTACTTCAATGAATATTTATATGCATAATACCACGCAATAAATTTTTGTTTGTTTTTGAGAGACAATTCTTAAGACATCCCTGATTGTGCTAATTAGATGGGAACAATATTTATTCTGGAAACCAAACTACTTACAAGTACCAAGTTGTTACACTAGATGGCATCCAACAGCAGGAATTTCTAAGGATCAGAAATATACTGGCTGCAATTAAAGACTGGAAAAAAAGTAGGAAATGCATTCAATTCGCTTGGGAAAGAAGACAGTTTTATGCGTCAGACCCCAAAAATCAACATTTCTTGATTTCAGTTCGGGAGTATAAGAACGAATCATTACAACAACTGGAAAAAGCTACAACCCTATCAAGTTTATATGCAGTCAGGTCTCCTAGTCTGTAAACGTACAAGTTACGTTCCATTTTCACGACATGGGAATGTTTCTATCATCAGAATATCTGGTGTTTTTTTAAAATAGTGACATGGTCAATCTGTGAGTTGAACTTTCAACTCAGCAATATGCGTGTTCAAGGATGTAGGAGCTCTGTAACTCAGCGTGTTATAAACAATGGACCTTTGTCTGTAGGCCTGGCTGTGAATCCAATCCAAGCTTTTGTCACACACAATAAATGGGTTTGTTTGGTTTCAAATCAGTTCCTAGTCAACATATATAAAACATGGCAAATTAATCGCTAAATTGTCAGTGTTACCCCGAAATGCGAGGTATAGGCTGGTGCAGGAAATGGAAAACTGTCACTGTGGTATTGAAAGTTCATTTTTCTATGGCCCCGATTTTCTACTACAACATAGTCAGCGAGTTGGGATTTATTCATGGTCCTCATGCACATCTTCCAGGCTTTGTCAGGTCTCACTATCCAGACACCAGATGATCTCGGCTGTTGTTGCTGAGACTGTCATCGAATCAGTATTCTGCTTTTATTGATTGGACATTGCCTGGCAGAAAGGCTGAACCCCAAAGTGTAGGCTGTTCAATCTACCAGCCTTAACAGGCTTCACCTTGATAAAATCAAACATTAGCACAGCTCTCTAGATTACAGTTTTCACCGTAATACAGCAGTAACCTTTTTATAGTGACTTCGATATAGTGTAATATTCCATGGAGCATATGCAAATAAATTTTGCCACTGAATTACATAAAGCAATCCTGGAACTGGTGACCAAAAGCTTTGTCAAAGAGACATGTTTTAATACCTGTGTTCAAAACTGGGAATGAAGCCCAAATGTCAGTTTCATTCCTTTTCTTCTATTGCATTGCTTGACTTCCTCCATTTTATTTAATGTGGTCTGCTTTAAACCTTTTAACTCCCTACTCTGAATTATCCTGGCATCTTTGACTGGTGGATCCGTTGGTATATTTCAACTGCTTTAAGTCACTTTAAGTCAGATCTTCATGTTAATTTGTAGCTTGTGTTACAGAGAACAATGTATTGCTTGCCCCTTGTTAACTTATAGGTTTATTCAATTTTACTTAATTTCAAAACACTTGCCAGTTTGAAAAGAAACTTTGCAATAACCTGTGTTTCTGTGCATACACTCAATGTTTACACGCCCACTCTACCCCACTTCGCCCCTCATTTGCCCCCATTCTGCTCTCCTATTGTCCTTCCTCAATCATCCCACAATCCCCCAAGAATTCTTTATTCCTTAGTTATCTACATATTAAAATAATTTCTACTTAATGTTATCTCATATAAACAAAGATATAATACATGAAAAGTCAACATATTACTAAAGGACTGTGAAATAAAAAATATGGATCTAATTACAGGGAGTTGTTAGATTGAGCTATTAACAGCTCATTAATTAGACATGATCTGATATAAACATAACTGCAAATTGTTTGCTACTAGTAATTAATGAATTTGTTGGTATTTGCTAGTTATGTCATCAAATAATATTGATTAGACTATTGTGCTTAGCGTGCCTAGTTTTGCACACGCCTTTATTTACCTGGCATTGCAATAAAGGTCAATGATGTTTGATGGTAATAAAAATATCTTAACTGTTTGTAGGTGAGAAGCGATGGTTGAAGGATTACAATAATCTCAAAATGCTCTTCTATGAATTTATTCAAAATGCAGCATTGCTATTGCCTGAAAATTAGATAATGCTACCAATAATTCACTGGCAAATTCAATCAAAGAGTCACGATAACTTCTGTCAAATCGACTCTGTACAAACCAGCGATGAGTAGAATTTAGCAAAGTGACAGCTAGGAGGAATGCATCACCAACAAAAAGCAGTTATTTTCAAACTACCAACTATCTAGCTCTACACAATCGCCCCTTGCCATTAATCAGATTAATTAGTGCCAACTAATTTGAAGACAGTCATCAAATCAGAATCAGCAAGGCAAGCAATCCTGTGATGCACACATCGGTCCCAAAAGGCTTTGAGTGAATTATGAACCTGGTAAATTTAACAATCTCCCAGTGTCTCATATTTAAAAGGAGCTTTCATTTGGTGAAATTCAGCACATAACAATCTAAAAAGGAAATGTGGGATGACTTGTTGCTCTGTCTGTTGGTCAGGAATGGCTGAATTATTTACTGAGAGAGATTCCAGGTAGGATATAATGTAATTAATTATCACGATCATTATTAAAATATTTTTCAGAGAGAGATCACTTTAAGTAATCAATCATCACAGAACAGTATTTTGAAGCAAAATTTGTGTATTTTTAGATATTTGGGTTTTAGAACAATAGAAAAGGCTAGAATACTATAAGTTGCTCCAGGTGTTCACCAATTGTCCAGTTTAACTGAAGTCCGAAACAAAGGCTTGAAAATTAATTGTACCCTGCGCCTGAAATGTATTTGAATGAGAAACATAATACACTGGACTTTCTGAGGAGTAGCAACTTCACACTGTCACTCTGCCCTAGTATTTTTTTACGAAAGGAGGGAGCTCTGCACTGCTGAGAGGGGTTTCTGTTCACTGTTTCCTCAGAAATGCACAGCCATACTTCTATGTTGACAGTTGTTTAGTGGCACAAAACTGTCAGACCAATATAAACACTGTCCCTTTCTCACAGCGGGCAGCTGCTGTATTCTGACATTCAAAGGTCCAGAAACCACTTTGCTAGCTACTGTCAAATGGTAAATGTGTAAGGAAAGTGTGTGGGTATGTGTTAGGCTTTTGAGAGGGTAGGGTGCCAGGTAAAGAAGGATGCCAGGTGGTTAGGATGTCAAAGCAGTAGGTGCTGAGTGAGTAGGGTGCCAGTGTGCAAGTGGCAAATGATGTAGAGTCAGTCAGAATGGGTGGGAGAAATCCGATCTAGCAGGAGGCAGGAAGAGTGGCTGTGGAGTTTGCGGTAGGAGATTGGGAAGGGGTGATCAGGTCCAGTGGTAGAGGAAGGGAGGTAGGTCTTGCTAAGTGTGGTCCTCTGAGGTCAGGACCAGTGACAGCTCAACAAGTGGATCATGCGTTTTAGCATTTGCTCTTCCAGATCAGTTACCAGGGACATTTGATGGAGATGGCTGATGTTTTGTTTTGATGTAGGTTCCATTACTGTTTGCAATATAGGAAAGTTTCCCTGAAGATTCTGCACTAAAGATTATGAATCAAACTAGTACTGTTGTCTTCATGCCCAAGTCCTGAAAGAATTACCTAAGTGCTTTAACGTGTAATTGTCAAACATTTCTCTTTT